GAATTCTGGGAGTTGAAGTCCACACATCTTTAAGCTGCCAAGGTTGAGAAACACTGCTATAGGGTATAATAACAGAAACTTGAAAGCCTGCCAGAGTTTCTTTCTGCTGCCATCTTGACTTTTTTGACATCCCTCCCATGGATACCTCTTATTGGGCCTATGTAGTCCTTGGATGGGGAAAATCTCAGGGCTGGAATCTAGACGTCCAAAAACGTCTGCAAAAGAAAGTCATGCCAAATGTCTTCCATGCTGCTGCCAATGACGCAGGTGGCTTCACGAAATAGCAAAGCCTGAGCTTGTGTTGAAGGAGATTTTAACTTTATTCTGCAAGAAAGAGGGAAGATAACTGCTCGTAGCAGGTATGTGACTCGGGCTGGAAATATTTTCCGTCTGTGTGAGGCAGTTGGCACTCCACAGACGAGAAAAGCTGGCTCACCGAGAATGCAAGATGCCATATTTGTTCAGAAATGGTAATGGATCTGGGCAATTGCAGAAATTCTGCTATCTTGTATGAAGTAGAGAGTATTAGCTTCCGCTTTGGACAAGGTCATTCAAGGAAGCGAGAACATGACATTTGCAATGTTTTATGTTTTCTGCCCCCACTTGCCCGCGATGGCTGTTCCTTCGTGGAACTAAACTATAATGTGGCTTACGGTTTGGTGAACCTAGCCACTGTGCTTTGTAAACCCAGGCTTCCAGTTTAGTGACACAGGAGCCCGACCAATTTTGAGACCTATAACTGGTGTTTTAGTTCAACTTTGCACCCGAGCAGCAGGTGAGATCTTAACCAGCAGGGCTTTTGAAGAACAAGTTCAATATGAGTCTACAAAGATCATCTACCACTCCTTTCCTTCAGAGCATTCTATATTGCTTGGCATTGACCAAAATACTTCCAAACAAGTTAAAACAATATTGTTCCTTTGGCTGGGTTTCAAACATAGAATAAGCCCAGAAAAATGCCTTTTTTGTTCCCCTGAGATCTAGTTCCTCTGATGCGTAGGGATGCACAGCAAATCCCGTTGAGCTAAGGGCTCCCTTGCTCTGTGCCTGGAGATCAACCTTGGCTGGATCTCCTTAGTCCTGGGTGAATGGCCAGGGTGATCAGTTTCACTGAGACGTTGGAAAAAAGCCAACTAAGAAGAGGCAATATTAAACCCTTCTACACAGTTGCTAGAAAACCACATAATTGTGCCAAAAAGGGTTGACTCAATTCAAAGATGTCTTTACCTTGATCTGCTTAATACATAAAACAGTTGGGATAATGGTCAATCTAGGAGATCATTGTACAGCTCCCCAACATCTCCTTGGCTTTGGGGGACAAGAAATGTAGATCTCCTTCAGTCCAAACTAAGTTTGTGGCAGAACTAGTTTATCTGTACTGTCCTTTCCCACCTTCTTTCACCTCAGCATTGAGGGTACATTTTCATGCAACATCAAGCAGAAGGATAGCCAGAATCCTTTCCCCTGTCACGCTCCTAAAAACAGGCAGAGCTTTGATCACCCCGCTGTGGCCACCATCTTGACATTTTTGGCTTGGGGGGAAGGATTTTTTTAAAATAGTAATTTTATTAAAAATTACAATGGCAAAGATGAAAACAAATACAAATTAAAAAAGAATAAAAGGAAAAAGGATGATTTAGATGCTTTATGAAATTGGAGTTTCCCATTTGTTTGTTTATTTATCATTCAAATAATATAAAATAAAATTGGTCATGGAACGTGTCAGGTACTAAATGAAGCACTGTTGGGAACATTGGCACTCATAAGCATTATATTATATTCTCTGTGTCTCTCTTTTTTCTTTTGTAATAATTTTATTAAAGTTCGCAAGTACAAAGATAAAAGACTAATACAAAGAAAAATATAAAACGTGAAGAAAAGAGAAAGAAAACTGCAAAGAAAGAGAAAACAGAAAAGGAAAAAAGATCAGAAAAAAAGATATATAAAAGAATGACTCCCCCCTCCCTCTGGATCAGTATAAACAATTTCAGTAACTTAACACCTTCTCTAGTATAATAATAATAATAATAATAATAATAATAATTAAAAAAAATCTCTCCTTCCCATATCTCATCTCTTATCAATGAACAAATTGTGAAAACTCATCATTTAGTTCTATTCATCAAAAGTCCATTAAGAGCTACCAGAAATAGTAACATTTTAACCTTAATCAAATAAATCCATTTTGTATTCTAATATATCACTTTCTGTGAGGAATAAAGCAAAAGAAATCTCTCCCCATTTATAAACAAATCTTTAAAGCTGCATCATTCAGTCCTGGTCAAAAAGAAATTCCATTGATAGCTACCAGAAACCACAACATCTATATTTTAACTCTGGTCAAAAAAAATTCACTTTGTATTCCTTCTGTTTACTTTTAAAAAGCTTGATCTTTAATCTCTTCAGATAATGTCCCACAAGTTGATTTCTTATCCTTTTCTCTTTGTCTCCTCTCAGGAGTAGCTTCAATATTTTAACACATGTCTTTTGTAAATGCAGGATAAGAAGGCTATCCAAGTCACTCTTCTGATTTATTATTTGTATGTCTCCTTTAATTAGTAAAACTTCAACCAGTTTCATTTGCAAATCCATTGTGGTATCTTTTTCCATATCACTCTTATAGTCTGTCATTTTTAAATCTGTCTTCAAATCCATGTCATCTTTTTTCATATCGCTCTTGTAGTCTAGCATTTTTTAAAAATTCATTTTCAAATCCACATTCACATCAGCCTTAGTCTCTATTTTGTCCACTAAAATCTGTTCCTCTCCTGTAGCCTCTGTTAAATCCATTTTTATAGTGGCAGACAATCGTGAAAGTAATTTCTGAGCCTTAATTTCTTCTATAATATTGCTCCATGGTATTAATGGGCCTCTTCTCCTTTAATTGTAATCTTTAATTCTCTCTGGTTCCCTTTGGTCAACCTTCAAAGTCCCCTCTTATCATATGTTTATTTTCCAATCAGCAAAACTTTCCCAC